TTATTATTATTATTATTATTATTATTATTATTATTATTATTATTATTATTATTATTATAATTATTATTATTATTATTATTATCATTATTATTTTTATTATTATTATTTTTTTTTTTTCAACTTCTCCATTAGGCAAAATCTATCGGAAAATATTATATTATATTATATATAAATATTTTTAAAATTTTCCAGACTTACAAAATATATTTGAAAATATTTTTAATTTATATTTTGATTATTATTATTATTTGTTTAACAATTTAAATTAAAAATTAATATTTTAAATATTAATTAAAAGTTTGATCGATCGTGATTGTCATAAAAAATGAACTATCACTTTTAAAAATACCTAAAACTATTTTGATTATCAAATTTGATCAGGCAAAGCTTCACAGTTACTAAATTTGTCACAGCTTCTGTTAAGCTTTAATAGAGTTACATAGGCAAATTCGTGTTTCAGGTTATTTGGGCATTTCCTTAATGTTTTACCCTCCGTCTGCTTGCTGCAATCAAGTTTGAATAGTATGAATGTCCCTTCACTCACTCAGTCAACTCGTTATTGCTCACTAATTCGCTTTAGCTAATAGAACACTTAAGTGTTCTTGGCCAATTTTGGCCTTCAACTAATTTCCATTTTTGCAAAGTGCACTAACTTTCGGGCCAAATGGCAGATGATGTAATAAGCCACGTCGGACTATAACAGCTCGTTTCAGCTCTGCTCCATTCAGTTCAGTTCAGTTTTATGATGTGCTCATCATGTGGGGCACATTACACGTGTGTGTGTGTGTGTGTGCGTGTGAGTATCGGGCCTGGCACGACATGGCTGTTAAAGCATATTTGCCAATCAGCTGGCTACAGTTGCAACCGAATGTGGCAGCCACCGAAATAGCACAGGCGAAGCGCGTGGCAAGCTAAACGACAATAATCGATTCATATGCGAGATTCAATTGAATTCAGATGCGGCCCGAATGGCGCACTAAATGTTTATCGCATAATTCCGGCGAATATTGTGGCCATATTTACATATGTAAGTGGCTAACTGCTTTTTGGCAGCAGCAGCAACATATGGGCCACGTTAACAGATGAATAAAAACTCTAAAGCCAAATGTTGCCAGAGTCAAGAGTTCATTTGTAATTTGAGCAGATTATTACACTGCTCACATTAAGCGGGCTAACAAAGAGTATTATACATATATGATGATTATGTAAGAGCCAGCTGAAGAAATCCATATATTTATTAAGAGCATATGCTTCATACATATATGTTTGAATATGGTACATTAAATTGTATCTTATATGAGTTGGAAGCATATTCTTTTTGAGTGGAAAAGTTGTAATCTATATGTGTACAACAAATATAGTGAATTTTTTTCTTGTTTGTTATTTATAAGTATCTACATATATTGTTTCCTTCAAAGTGACTCGTCTCAGGCATAATATATTTATAAGGAATTTTTCTTTATAATCAAACGTCTTTGAATCAGTTCAGCAAAGGGAAGAATCATTGTAGAGAAGATGTGATGATTGTGGAGACAAAAAGTCGCTCAGCGAGCAGGTTTGAATCTAGTCTCTAGAGCTGTGTTGCTCAGAGAGTTCTGAGATTGTAGGAATCAATAGATAGAGCAGTAAAATCGTATGTCTATTCGTATACGTAACCTAGGCAACTCTTATATAAATTTCTGTTAAACATACAACTGTATTCCAATTTTGTTCAACTGAAGTATCAAGAAGATATTTTTGATAGGGAAATCCACTTTATTATTTATTTTCCCTTTCACTCTATTTCAGCATAATGTACACTGAATCACATTCCATGACGACATTCATGAGTTTATGTATTTAATTAGCTGTTAAAATTTTGATAGAGTTCGCATTGACTGCCATGGCACGCGTGTGATAAACGAATCCTTGGCTGTGCCTTGCGCTGCATTTACCGTTGCGTGCGCCATGCCAATATTAACCATACGCCTCATTGTACAGGCACACACACATACATATAGATACAGCTACGGCTGTTGCCTGAGCAACTGTGGCCCGCACGTAAATACAATGAGGTTGAACTATTGTATAAATACCCATCAATAGCAATTGACAGCTTGCAACGGCTTGGCATAGCTGCTCATAGCTGAGACGAATTTAAGAGTTAAGTGTGGCAAATTGTGTTTAATGAAATTACAATCATGCAACGCCCGGTGGCAAGGCCTGGCTAACACGCTCTGTGGAATGTCTGGCCGGCTCTTTGCTACATTAAGATAATTTGTTTCAGATTTAACTTTTGGCAGCCGCTTTATTGTCAGCAGCTGCAACAGCAGCAACGGCAGCAGATCGCATCAGCTATTTGACACTTTGACTTTTAGCGCGGTCACGTGAACCGGTTACGTTTTGGGTTTACGTTTACGGTTACGGTTATGTTTACGTTTATGCTCACTGTTGGCCATTGGGTCCAGCCATAAAGCTAAATGCCGCGTCTGGCGCTTACATAAAAAATAAGTTCATTTGCTGCATGTTGTAATTCATTAAAAGTGCGCCCGAAATACGCGAGACTGACACTAGAGCGAGAGAGAGAGAAAGGGAGAGACAGAGGTCAGACTGACAAATGACTGAGAATTGGGCAAATGTGAGCTGAAAAATCTGAGACTGATTCTGATTTTGATGCGTTGAGAAGCGCTGCGAAGACCCAAAACTTTGCTGTCCAAATTTTTTTGCTAATTAAATTTCTTGGCACGTCGCAGAGCTGTAAATAGACTCGACATCTCATGCCGGGCCTGCCATGCAGCTTTTTGTTGTGTTTAATTAATGTGTTGAGTGACGGCTGCCCAACTTGATTGATATTTAAGTGTTTGGCAATTTGATTATGGGACCCTAAGTGTGCACTCTACCAGAGAGGAATGAGATGTTCAGACTTAGTTAAGTTTCAAATGCAATTATAGAGTTTTTCTTCACTGTTAGTTGTATTAAAATTTTGATCAGGCCGTTCGTGCTCTGTTATCTGCTTCAGTCTATGACAGCCTAATTGAACCCATGTCTCCTTCTCCTTCATTGCCTAGCTGTATTAACTTTTGCTAGAGGGTATCTATGGCTATTAGTTGAAATTAGCTTTTGTTTAAAACTATTCTTTATTTGATTACCATATTTCTTATAAGACGAATGAAAAGAAGAACAACGGTAAGGAGTTGGGTCTACTTTTCCATACCCATCGCAACGATCTGAACATCTAAGATGACGTTAGCAATCAGTATATACTCCAAATTTTAAATATCTATCTAGAGGCAAAATGGTTTGCGCTCATGCGAATGATGCGGACGGACGAGATAGACGCACGAATAGGCATATGTACAGACGGACGAATACAAGGACAGATACTTGCACTGATAGAGGAGCAGATGGATGAATGGACAGTCGGATGGATAGACGCACGACTAGATAGGCATATAGATGGACGGATAGACGCATCAATAGAGAGACGGACGAACTGGCATACGGACGAATAGACAAATGGATTAGGGGACAAGCAAATGGACGAATGACAGACTTATAGACAGACGAATGGGCACAAAAATAAACGTCCGTTCACCTCTAGGCAAACCTTGCACAAAACCAATATACTCCTTTTTACATGGCCAACAAGTATATTGGTATATATTCTTTGCTCTGGCCAACTTAAGCAACTGTAAGCTCTTCCGCTAAG